ATTAATGAGAAATTAATGCTAAACATACCTTCATCTGCTACTTGTAAAATAGCAGCAAACATTACATTCTGTTGTTTCTTGATAAATCCTTCACTGTCTAACTAAATGGCATCGCTGGGGAACTACTTTGCAGCTCCATGTCAATCATGACCAAACTGAAGTTTGAGAGCAATTTTCTGAAATTCATGTCCTAAAGTCATAGTGAAGTCATTGCTGTGAGAAAAACAGGCATCACAGTTTATTAGTCCTGAGTCTTCGGCTGCTCACAGAGGATAGCACTGAGCAATGCAGTATAGGGAATTATTACTCTGTGTCAGGACAGTCTGATTTCTAGGTTGTCTGTATCAGCTTGCATCTAGAGCTGTGCACATGGCTTTATTTATTGTATGTAGGAAGAGCAAAGCACTGAGGATTTTATTTCATTTTTATAAATAGGACACATTAGGTTGTCCAACTGAATCTGAGACAAAATGTTTCTCTACATTGCACAAAGTACTATGAATCTTTTCCCATCCAGACTCTAACAAACTTTGGGTATCAGCCACAACGTCATGAGCTCTTGTTGATAAATGTTACTAAAGTCTGTTTTTATTTTTTCTAACCAGCTTTGTTATTTTTGTTTGGAGAAAGTGACATATTTAGCTAAAGAATTTGTCTGCAGTCTTCTTATGAATAAGATTAAATTAGTGGTAAAAACAACAAATTCTTCTCCAGGAAAAATCCCAATCATGCTCCCTTAAAATAAACTCTCCCATCTGTGAAATTCCCTGTGCTCCCCTCCCTGATAATCAGGTGCCTTGGTGTTGTGTGGTTTTCTTAACATCCTATTGGGTTAGTTTGTGAGGGAGTGGTGTGCATCTGCCTCTTCTTTCTTAGTCACCTCCACAGCACACAACTGCATGCATGGGTGGTATAGCCATAGGTAGTACAGTTTACTAATAACAAGGGCTTTGTCTCACAGTTTCATTGGCCCCGTGGCCTACATTCTGGTTGTGTTTCAGACACATTCACTGTTATGCCAAGAGAAGTCATGGAGTGATCCCAGATAGGAGAAAATTTAAAGGAAACACCTTCTTGTATAACCATTCTCAAGTTTGGGAAGAAAATCCAGAATGGTTTAAAAGGAGCCACTTGTGTCCTCTGGGTGGGTTCTATCCAGTGCAATGCCTAGACCTCTGCAAAGCTCCTCCTTTCAGAGAGCTTTTACCACCCTCCATACTGTCAGAGTTTATTCTTGAAAGACGTCATTAGTACATGTTAATTAATTCAAGAACCTTATTGAAGTCTCCTAACTGATGCATATGCTTATTTGTAAAAGTCCTCATGTGAGTAGTAGATGTTTCCTTACTAATTTTCCATACCCTGACTCTCTCAGAAGAGCTGTATCTATCAGTTGCCTCTGTAGAAGCCTTTAGCATAATGCTCAAGATACTTCTGTATACTTTAAGATGGTCTAAACTTTCTCTTTTATAATAGATAGTGTTCAAATTTGCCTCAAAATAGGAGACAATATCCTAGCATTGCAAACCACAACTGAACAATATCATAAGGACAGATGAAACATGTGTCTTTCACTTCTGGATCTAATCATAAACACTAAGAGGAGAACCGTCCAAGAGTTCACATATGCAATGCTCTTCCTTTTGACCTGTTCTCTTTAGAACTTTGGAACATAAGATACACAGAAGCAACAAAGCAAAAATAATAGTATGCAAATTAAAATAAGGTTTTATATATATGGACAATCAGTTATACATTCTGTAACCATAATCACTTCCTCTTCACTGTGGAAGATAAGGTATTGATAGCCAGTATTATCTACCTCAAATGCAAGTCTATACTTGCAAATTATTTTGTATTCTTGTATACTAAGCTTGAAGAGACATTTTAAAGTCCTTACCATATAAAGGAAAAGAGAAAATGTAATAATAATGCATTAAATTACATGGCAGATTAAATACAAAATAAAAGAATCTAAACAGGCAAAGTGCAAAGTCTAAAAGCTATATCTTATCTATTTCCTTTTGATAACTAGGTAGTAGACAATGGAGCAGGGAGATGAAATTCAACATTTTGAAATCATTTAAAAAATATATCTGTAGCCCTTTAAGCTTTTAGATTCAAAGATTAGATCTAACTGAATATTCACTAGTATTAGCAATGATTAGATTCGATATATATAAAGTGTCCATATATGTTTATGTATGTATTGGTTCAAAAGTGGAATTCTACTTTTTAAATAAGGCACAATCCCATGAGCAATCATAAAGTAATCCTATGATTAAGCACCATATTCTTTTAGAAAAGCAAAAAGAGCTCACACATGAATTCTAAGAAGGCTTAGAACACTTAAAGCCACTTGTTAGAATAATTTAACTGGAGTTGGGTCATTATAAGAGTAAGTTTAAGGCTGGAAAATAGGATAACTATGGAATGTAGGTCAGATAAAAGCATTGTGGTAACCTGACGACAGTGAGACGTTTTCCATCTCAGATTGCTTTTCTGTTTTTCAGGGAGCGCAAAATGGGGAGGAAAAACAAACAACATGGGTCTGCTCAGAAAATAAATGTTCATGTCTCTAGGTTTCATGTGGGCGTTATTCACTATAGAAGTAATTCATACCCTACAAAATGAACTTGAACATGAGTTCTTCCTGTGTGTAGGCCAACTTGTTAACAAACAGGGCATCCACAAATAGTTAAACATTTCCCTAGAAAAATACATTTGTGGTACTTTGGTTTTGAGGTTGGTCTACAACTTCACATTTTTGTATATTCTACTTGCATTAATAAACTATGATTATAATACTTAAATAAAGCCTATGAGAACTTGGTCTGACAAAGTGAAAAAGGAATTTGATTTAGTTCTTTGTAAACATGTAATGATTACATATGCTGGACACTGAATTAGTACTATGCAAGAGTGAACAAGGTTCCTACTTACACAAAGATGTAGATCAAGGTGGGAATTAATTTTATCTCAGCGAGGGGTAGTTTGTATGACTAACTCTGAATAATATGTCCCAGGGAAAATTTCCTGCTTTTTCTCAGTATCTTCCAAAATTCCCTCACTGTTAAAATCCACAAAACTATAAGATTGCAACTAAAATCATTGCTAACAGTTTCATTAATCTCACACCCTCCAATTCTCTTCTATTCATGATGTCCTATTCATGAGATAAGACAACTATCCATAGCCAAACTCGATGTCAGAAACAGCCACTTCTCTGAAAGCAGCTTGAGTTTACAGCTAACAAGTTCCTATTGATGAATGGTGGCATCTGTGTCTTGCAGATAGAAAATGTTCAGTCCTAATGAATGCCCAAATTATCTCCAAATACTAAGATATAATCCCCAAGGAATGATGGAAACTAACAGGCTGAGTAACACAAAAGTCATAATGAGAGCTTTGAAAATAACCCATAAAGAATATTTTCTCCACTGCTAAAGATCTCCAAAGAAGGATGCCCCTAAATCAACTTCCCTGAGGCATAATAGTGCTTCCTCCTTTCAAGACAGTATTCTTAAGAATTAGTGTAATTCCTCTTTGTGATTGCTTTAATTCATTTTCTCTTCTTTTGTTGTCAGTAGATGCTTATTAAGCCATTGAACATATTTATTCAAAGAATAAAGGATATCCTGTGCTTTATAGTAATCCGCTCTTAAGATAAAAGAAAACTGAAGCCACAGGCTCAGCATTGAAAAGATGTCACTTATTTATTTGATGAAAATCAAATATAAAAACCAATTATGTGTATGGATTTCATTTTCTATTTTTTTCTAACACACACAAAACAGTAGAAGTAATTTCAGATATGATAAAGAGATAGCTATCTATTCTCATGTAGGCTGATCTAATAACTCTTATCTAAGACTTATAATGCAGTTGACATTGCCTTGTCTTGATAGAGACTTTTCTCTCTTACATGCATTTTCTTATTTAATCATTACCCATATACTATGATATGTTACCTCTTTGAAGTGAGAAAAAATGAAACTTATAAATATCATACTTTGTGTAATGATCATATCTGAATTTCAACTCTAGAAGCTGATTCTAGAGCTTGAAGTCTTATTCATTGACAAGGACAGCTAGTCACTGACTGATCACATCAAAAAGTTCACTAATTTTCTTGGGTCAACTTTGAAATAAATACCTATTGTGTTGGTTTGGTTCATATTATTATTTGTGAAAAAAATGAATTTAGAACCTGGCAATACTGGTTTCTATGAAATTTTCAGCCTCTTAGATGGATTTATACTCATCTTTATATAAATAACTAATTCACTCTCATGTTAGTACAAGCCATATGTGTAGAAATGTATTAACTAGCATATGTATTTTGTAAAGAAAAGGTATGATTCTTATCTTTATATCAAAGTACATACAAGTTTTGCTAATTTAATGTAATAACAGATGCATGATACTAAGAACGTGCCAATCAATTTTTCCTGTGTGTTATCTCAAGTCCAAAAAGGCTTATGAATAACCCCAGGCAACAAGAATCACCTTGTCCCTTTAGATGAAGTGCCTTGGAAGACAAGAATACAGGATTTTTACCTGATATTTGCATAAATTAAAAATAAAGTACCAGGACCACAAATTGAATAGACTATGAAGACTGTTGCATATGTTGTAGTTCTATGTCTCCTAAGAGAACTCAGCTATTAACACAGCCCAGTGCAAGACAGAATCTGTTTTAGTCGGGATTGTAGGAAATTTCAGAACATTGACTTCTCATAATTATTTCACAAGGTAAAGATAGATAATGAATGTATCTATATCAGTTTCTGGATTTATATATCTTTCCATTTTTGATAAACAATCAGAATGGTTGTTATTCAGTGAGTTGATAGCTGAAATTTATGTTTGAAAAATACAATAAAATTAATTAATATTTTATAGTTTTTCATGATTACTTGAAAATTCCATGAGCTGCAGACAAGTTACACATATTCAAATATAAAGTCTAGATTCTCACTGCTATTCTCTTCCCACAGGTTGTATATAAAAATAATGATGTAAGACTGGAGTTATCACGACTTGCCAAGCAAGGAGATCCTAAGATGAAGATTCATGGTGTGGTGGCTTTTAAGTGCGAAAATGTGGCAACTTTAGACCCAATAACTTTTGAGACCCCAGAATCTTTCATTTCTTTGCCTAAATGGAATGCAAAGAAAACAGGCTCAATATCATTTGATTTCCGTACAACAGAGCCAAATGGCCTCATATTGTTTAGCCATGGCAAGCCAAGACATCAGAAGGATGCCAAGCACCCACAGATGATTAAGGTTGACTTTTTTGCTATTGAAATGCTGGACGGCCACTTGTACCTCCTCTTAGACATGGGATCAGGTACAATAAAAATCAAAGCCCTGCAGAAGAAAGTCAATGATGGAGAATGGTATCATGTGGATTTCCAGCGGGATGGACGGTCAGGTAATTTAACATTTTACTGTGTTGTTAGAACCTCCAAAATACAAATGATAAAATGGCTGTGTCTTAAGCAAACACTTTGTAGGTATCAAGGCAAGGAATACCACGTCTTGCAAGAAATTTTATCCTGAATTGGCAGATAACAGATTTTAGAGTTCTTATAAACTCAGCTAGGTTTTTATGTCTTTGGATATTTGAAGGTACCTGAACATTTAATTACAAAATGTAAAATAAAAATAAAAATAAAAATAGAATAATCAATCCATGAAAATGTATCAGGGTTGTGTGTAAAACACTTCAGTCCCTGTGGTAGGATTTAAATCTACCTCTTGATCAACTTTTCTTTGAGAAGTTTGAAATTCCAACAGTAGGCATTACCCATTTGTTTCATTTTCCAGCTTTGTTCCCTTAAGAGGGAAGTTTTCTAAACTTCATTGCACTTTAAAAGTTGTGTAAAGAATTGGACTTTGCTTAGTATGAACTTCAAAGAAAGAAAAAAATCAACCAGAAAGGTATGTTTTTATGCAATAAAATAAAGAGCTGGAAAGTCAGAAAATCGAGGAAGGACTGGTTTACTGGTTCTTAATAAGTGGAAACTCAGAACCCATGCTTTAACCTCAACTTGTCTCAGAAAATTTATTTTTAATTTTCTCCATTGGAGAAAATTTGTTTCCTTGGGAATTAGTGTCATCTCTGTTTTTCTGGTATAAACTAAGAAATTTTTGCTGAATGAATTGGAGAAAACCATAATAAACTCCCTGCCCTGCCTCAAACTCTCTGGAAGACATAGTATTTAATTTATCTTTAGAAACTTTCAAATAAAAGAATTAAAGCAAACGTGGGAACATGGTATGATCTATTATTTGAAATATTCGGTTGTAGATGGTATCAGGATGGTACATATACCTAGAATACAATTTTAAAAATGACTTTGAAAAAGAGAGAAATTTGACTCATATTTTATAGCATAAGTTTATTTATATTTTAAAACGGCATAAAACAAATCAGATTATCTTGTCATATTTGGGGGTTCAGAAAACTAAAACTAAAACAAAACAAAACAAAAAACTTCAGGTCAGTGATACTTTTTCTAGAAATGAGATACTGCAAATATGAAAATAATATATGATGAATACCAAGTTATTAGTAAATGTCAAGGAACATGCAAGACCAAACCAATCTAGTACTCATTTGATGACAGACTTATGTTTTAAATACCTACTTTCACAATTGTATGCAAATTATGTATTTATGTATATATACATATGCATTAATATATGTATGTATGTCACAGTATACATAGTAACATGTACCTAAAGGAAAAAACTGGTGAACGTTTTAATGGAGTCCATTATGACCATGCTAGTTATTAAATAATTCCTATAATTCTTATAGCATAGGACATCTAATATCATGTGCCTGATGTCTTTCTTTCATCATCATTTCTGTACATTTATTATCTGCTGTATGTAAACCTTCACTGGAGAATACCAAAGACAGATAGCATCTACTCTTACTTAGAAAGCTCAGTTTTGTACTGAGTGAATAAAACATTTTAAGTTTTATTTGCAAACCAGAAGAGGAATTAAAGCATGAGACGTTTGTCAGAATACACTGTAAAAAAATGGACATCCCTGAGTTTGTTGGTATTTTGATTGCAAATTACTTTTCTGTGATTAAAATATCAAATAAGAAAATTGGAACAAACACTGTGAAAAGTAAAACCAAATTCTGCCCTTCAACAAGTTGAAGAAGGTAGCTCACATTATGTGAGCCTCGCACAGGGGACCATAATGTCATTTTAATGGCTGCAGATGTTAATATTTTATATATAGTATTTTAATTAAGTTCTATATTTGGACACTGAATTGATCTGGCATAGATCTGTCTTTTAAAATTTGAATGAATACATTTGCAGTTTTGTTTTACCCAAAGCGTATTCTGAATGTTGCTGTTGCAATGCAAATGTTTGTATCTGAGATCAAACTATTAGACATAGAATCTCAGCTAAATTTATCCATTTTTACATCAATTAAATTCAAAGGTTCTAGGAAAATGGTTTTCCATATCACAAAGAGAAATAGGATGGCTATTTCAACAAGATAGTTTGGGCTGCCTTCTGAAGTGACAAAGGGTTGAATTCCTTGGGCACTCCCTAGATAAATTCCCATTTAGAAGGCCATAGTATTTTGGTTGTAGGGACTGGAGCCTCTAAGTTACTCTTTCAGCAACTGATTTTATTGACTTAGATACTAGATAATTAAAGCAATCATAGCTATTTGATGTCAGTATAACTACTAATTTTCTTAATCTGTGGTAAAATTGAAGTCATAATAATGAATGAACATAAATTTATATTTAAATTTTTTCAGTATTCACATTTCCTAATTTATTGGGCATAATAGCTATAATGTCCGTCTGTCTGTCTGTCTGTCTGTCTGTTTTTTCCATCTTTCTATTTCTGTCTCTCAGTCTGTCTCCTCACCACACACACAATAAAACAGAGTAGCCTATTGTCAATACACTCTTAAGAAGATATATTTTTTTTACATTTGAAGAATGTAGCAATTTTCTTTGTGAATGCAACTTCTTTAACTTTATAATTTCATTTAATTGCTTTCTTGAAAGCCATTTATACAATAGAGAATAACAGGTACTACCCTTTTAGGAAGACAGTGAGAACTTCCAAACTCAGACATTTGAAATAATTCAAACAGAAAGGTCAATCATTGTTAGATAGCTTTGCAAGCCTGGTACAGGAATAACAAGCTTTGATGAGGACAAGATGCAAGTTCTGCTTGTTCACAAGACCTGTATTGCTAAACAAACATGTAGATAGGAGAAAATTAGCCAAGTAGGAAGATATCCTCTCCTCAAGTATTGAGTATTGGATCAGGCAGCTGTCAGTGACAAGAAAGATAATCACCAGGTCACCAGTCTTCCTGGTTGTCCATCTTTGGGTCCTCTGTTCACCAAAAGGGGTATATGAGCTCTTAGAGTATGAAAAATACTGCCTTCCTTTGCATGCTTAAATTTCATTATGAGTAGTGGGTTATGAACACAACTATGAGATATGAGATAATATAACTTACAAAAAGTTATCACAATATGTGCAACAAGCTAGTAGGCAGAGATACAGCAGGAACATTTACAGCTAGAAGGTTAAGTTCGTCTCATGATCAAAACAGAGAACTCATGTAATGGTTGCTAAAGCAGAACCATCTAAGTGTGGCAAACTCTGCTGGTTAAGAGGAAACCTTCATTCTGAGTTTTTACCAACCTATGAAGTACATTTCATTTCTAAATGTAGGGAAGAACCACACACTTTAATTGCCCCATTTTAATATAAGTTGGCCACAGCAGTTTCTAAAGAAAATGCAGCTTCCTTTGGTTGCCTATGGGGTTTATAATCACCGAAATAGGAGCTAAAGTCACTGAGTTATCTGCAGATGACTATATAAACCCTGCAATTAGCTGACAAAGGACAAGCCATGCAAACTGCAGGCATGATCTAATGCCTCTGAGTGAACAATTTATGTCTTAGAAAAGCAGCTATTCTATGTGCATGTCTTAGCTGCTAGGATAAAAGTCCTTCGTTCTTGAGTTAATAAGTATACTACGAAAGTTCATATCCTTTTCAACTTTGCAGGACATCATTCAAATATATCTTTCCCACCCCTCTTCCCTTTCTAAACATCCCTGTTATATCTCTGCTGGTACCAACTGTGACAACAAGCAGCTGTCCAGGTGTTTAGCTGAAGTATGAACTGTCCTATAATTAGGATAAGGTTAATGACTATTTTCTTAAGGCAAGAATATCGTTTAAATTCAGTTAAACCTGTGGCTCAGTGAAGGATACCCTCTCAAAAAATTTTATAGTGAATTTCCAGTCGTTTTTTCTTCTCTTCTTGCAAACTATCATTACACATTGAAATAAAGAGGAAACTCATTATTCTTGTCAAGTTCTGCTTGTGTACAGCAGGGCAGAGCAGACGGTATCAGCGGTTATTCATGGGCAAGCCTACATTTAACAGCTAAGAAACCACTGAGATTTGAATTGAAGTCATAGAGTTCTAGTTAAGAACTAGAAATTATAGTGGGAAAGGCAGTCTCTCTCCAGAGCACATAATTAGGGGTTTGTAGTAATCACAATTCAATGTGAACAGTGCTTGCTAGCTGTCTATTACCCGCACTGATTTATGTGTATATCACTCATAAATTGCCACTCTTACACAGTCCCACTTGATCAGCCATTAGCCTGTGTAGGTGTGAGGTGAACTTGCACTCCCAACTGTAAAGGTTTTCCATAGCTCTGCTCACTACCTTGTTGCGGACATTGGGATAATTTTTAGTAAATTATACTAATGTCTTATATCTTATAGTTGTGTTTAAAAACAAATACCCATCAGCAGGAAGACTGAAATACCTATCAATAATTTACCAATTATTTAGTCAAATAGAATCAATTTGCCACAGAGTTTCTATACCAACTATTTTTTAATTTATTTTTTATATTTACTTACTACAGTAAGATTTAAAGATACAAATTCATTTACATTTTCTCTACATTTGTAGCACTTTTGTTTTGGAAATCTTTTGATCATTGTAAATGTGTACCTAAGTATATACTTGCTGATGCACTATAAGCAGAATATTCAGCCTACTTGTTTAATTTGATTTTTATAAGGTCTTTTTTATTCAAAAATGTCTGAGCGATGGTGTTTATTTTCTGGGGGGCATATGGTCTGTATTTAGAAAAGAGAGCTCACAGCACAGTTGCCTAGAACCCAGGCCCTTAGGACTTCATTTATATTCACATGTACAAACACAGGACCAAACATCTGCAGTAGCAGGCTGACTGCTGCTTTAAGCACTTAAGTGTGTCTTCTCACTGTGAAGATGGAACATGCACATTTTAGTTGAGATGAAGATGTTATGCCACCCTAGGCCACTATAACTAGACATTTCCTTATCTAATAAACTTTCCTTGCTTGGCTCACTGC